GGGGCCGCTCCGACGCCGAAGTGGGGCCTCGGCCGAGGACTTTTTCACCCTCGAGGAGTCCAAGACTTGGATGGAGGCCCAGCACGCCGCGCGGGTGCTTTCCATCCCGGTTAAACAACTCCCGAGTTTGACGGCGGCGGATGTGGAGAGGGCCTGGGGGCGGGCCTACGCGGCGGCCGCGGGGGTCTGCCGTGAGGAGGTCCTCACCGCGGCGGAGGTTCTGCTCGAGTATTTGGACTCCGCCCTGCATCGGGAGAAATGCCGCGAGGACTACCGCGAGATTATCGAGAAATCCAGGCTCGCGATCGACGCGGAGCTCGCCCGCACACGGGAGGGGTTGTGGGAGACCTTTTTTTACTTCTTCGCCGTGGCGATGGTCGGGGGATGTTTGTTGATTTTTGTCATGATCGCGTTGCGGTACATCTCCCCGAGCTCCGACGCCTCGCGGATCACTGGAGAGATCGGGGGGTTACTGAACTTCACCGCCCTTAGCCTTCACCGTGACGAGGACACTTCTTCTTCTTCTCGCTATTTGTCTTCTCCTCCGACGGCGATGAGCATGGATAAGCGGGATGGGCGCTACGATCAGCAGTTTTTGCACTCTGAGGGGATTCGGCTGCTTAGCGAACACGACGAATACCGTCGTGGAGAAGCCGACGAGATCGCGTCGATGATGCGCCGTGGTGTAAATACGGATGAAAACGAGGTTTCTTCTTCTTCGCCATCGTTGTCAGGGGGAGAATCCCAGAAGCCGATAAGCTTTTTTGGGTTTGCGCGGCTGTTAGAGGAGGACATAAACGCGGGATCGTACCTCCAGCGCCTTATAAAGTCATCTTCCTTTTTACTTACGGGTGATAATACTAATAATTATCGCAATACCTCCAGTGAGAGGTGAGAAATGGTGGAGGTTATTGTTGAGAGAGAGGAAACCATGAAAATTGCATTGAGTGGGGCCATTTGTCAATATGTTTCTATTGTATAAATGAAACATAAAAACAAAGCATGTTCGATCCCAAAACACTTTCTTTTTCAGATAGCATGTCCTGCGATAAAATCACAAGTGAGGATTTGGTACGCTCTGAGCACAAGTATATTATATATTTTACACCTATCCATCCTTTTATTATATCTTTATATTTTCAGTGTCTTAAAGCTTCCTGGAAGGATTCTTTATAGGGAAAAAATATAGACATATTGGAATATATATACCCAAACACATCTAGTCTAAAAAACATACACATTTTAGTTGCTATTTACCTCCCCTTTTTTTCGCTTTTGAATCCCAAAGGATGGCTATAAGTCCCAATGAGCCCCATTCTGATGGCGGCTCTACAACGAAGGGCGCCATCTCTTCTTTTCCTTCTCCTCCTCCCTCTTCATCTGCTACTTCGTATTCCGCATCATTTCACTCTAAAGCGCATCACGTCATGATCGCGACCGCCGGCGCTTCGGCAATGACGAAATTCCTGACCTACCCCCTCGACACACTAAAGTCTCGCGTGCAGAACTTCACCTCGGTCCACTCTCTTTCTTCCCCTCCCCCTTCTTCTTCCTTTTTGGGCCTCAGGAGGGCGTTCCCGGGGAGGACCATCCTTTTCTGGAAACAAGTCCGCGCGGCCTACGCGGGGCACTGGGGCCTGGTGGATTTATACCGGGGGTTTCTTCTCAAGACGACGCTCTACGTGCCCTACCAGATGTGGTATCAGCAGAGCTACAGCACCGCCGCGGAAGTGCTCCGTGTCTCCGAGTATCGCCCGGATGATTTTAATGCCCCTTCCCATCGTGACACCCATACTACTTCTGCTGTTACAACTGTGAGCACAAATAGTTCGAACAGCAGTGCCAGTTGTAACAGCAATACCAGTAGTAACAGCAATACCAGTTGTGACAGCAATGCCAGTAGTAGGAGCTACCCCCATGGAGATGTAACAGACGAACAGCGACGACGAAGTGCCTTTCTCTGGCGCGTTGCCGCGAGCGCGGTGATAGCGGAGATCGCGACCATCCCCTTACGTATCCCGATCGAGACGGTGAAGCTGCGGATCCAAACGAAGGCCGCGCCGAACGCCACCGAGGCCATTCGGCTGCTTTGGCGAAATGGCTTCCGCGCCGGCGGGCGGCTTTTCCTCCCGCAAACCGTCTTGCACGACATCCCGTACTCGGTCCTTCAGTGGTTCGTTTACGAGACCCTTCGTGCGTGGGCTTTGAAGCCTGGGAATGTGAGCACGACACCTTCGGGGGATCTTTCGAGTGAAACGCAGACCGCGAGGGGATACATTTCGCAGTTTCTTCGGGTTTCCCTCACCGGTGGGGCGAGCGGGTTGATCGCGGCGACTCTGACGATTCCGCTGGATAATATTCGTACGCGTGTGACCGTCGCCACGATGCGAAATCCCACCATTTCGATGTTCAGTATTATCCAAAAAGCTTACCGGGTGGATGGCATGAAAGCTCTCTTTCGCGGCGGCATGACGCGAATCCTCTATGTGGGTACGAATATGGCGATTTATTTTCCTATTTTTGAGCTTAACAAGAGGCTCCTCGCAGAATAAGATGGTGAGGGAAAAAAGAAAGGAAAAAAATGAGATAGATAAGGGGACTTCGGTTTTTCTTCTTTCTTATTATTGTTTATAACTTAGAGATAGGAATGAGAATTTCAGAGTATTGAGCTACTAATAGCTTTTAATGGGATGCAACTTTTTTCTTCATCGAATTGTGTTTTTAAGTTGGATGATGTATTTTCAGAAAGGTATAGAAAATTAATCTAAAGAAGAGGATGTGATTCTATTTTCTTCACTGCGCCTCGAAAGGATACGTGGAAATTGTTTATTAACCTTTCTTTTAGTTGAATGAGCTTGAGAAATCTTAGTCCTTTTTTTTACATTTTCTAAACAAGAAATCTCATTTGAATTTTTTTACCACCTTTTCTTATACATTAAGGTAATATATGAGATATGTGTATATACGAAGTGAAATGGGAAAATTACGATTACTTTTTTCTTTTTTATTTATGGAAACAACCTAGTAGAAAAAACTAGTTATCACTTTATGTGTTCTCATGGCGATGTTTTTTTAAATATTTTCCAAGTTTTAAGACTTCCTCTCGTTTTTTTTTAATCATTACTAATTTATTAAAAAGTTCTTGACTCGTTGAATGTTGGAGTAATATTTTACTTTTACTTTATTACTTTACATTTACTATCTTTATTCCTTTATATTTCTTTACCTGTTTATGAAGGATAATTTTTGTATATACGGTTCACTTTTTGAGGTTGAATTTTTTTTTTTAATCCCCTTTTCTCTTATTATTTCATCATTTTTTCTTTTAATTCTCAAGCTGTTCCTCCTTTGACGACAGAGCGGAGGGGAATTGACAGTAGTCCAGAAGGCATCACTGGAGGGGCCAGTAGCCGAAGAGGAAACCTACCGGTGGAAAGACTTTCTCACTTTCTGTAAATCATTATCCCTTACACATTTAGACATACATAAAAAAAAAATATTACGTATAACTTTTTTCGTCTTTAAGTTAACTATTGCACTAAAAGTATCTTATTGGCGTATTCTATTACAAGTACATTGTGTGTGAGCTAATCGATTAAAAGGTAACGACGTAGACTTATTCTGTATTTCGATAGGTCTATTTTTCATAATCCCCTTTTTTGTATTATTCACAGCGATTGCGACCCTCTCCCTATCCTTCTCCGACTTAGAGGCTGTCGGACGATATAGATGGGCGTAAATGCGAAAATCCCTGCTCTCATCCAAAGGCTTCAAGCCCCCTCGTAGTCATGGCGATGATAATAAAAATAATACCCCCACCGCCATCTCCCTGTCCGATCGCTCTGCGTTTGACGACTGTCGTAGTCGTTTGAGCGGCCATTTTAACGCGAACCGCCTCCTTCCCACCCCGCGCCGCGTTTCGAATGGCGGGAATGCGCCCATTGCTATGAATAATATCGATAATCTGAATGATATCAGCGAGGAATTTATTGATCATCCGACGGCGGAGGGGATTTGGTTGGATGGGGGAAACAACGGGAAGCGGCGGCGTGCGTGGAGTGCGGCGCGGGAGGGCCTTGACAAACTTTCGCAGGACTTCGTCCCCCCTTCCGACGACGACGAAAAGGAGGTGGACATGAGCGGAAAGGCGAGCATCGAAAAGGAAAAGGACCCCGGGGTGGGTTTTCAAGGGTTTCCAACCTGCGTCTCGGCCCTCGAGCAGGCCTCTTCGTATTTTTGGTCAACCCCAATCGGGGAGGCGGGGGAGGGGAGTTTGGACCGCGAGGTGGAGGAAGAACGGCGGATGTCGGAGGATCTGCCCTTTACCCCGAACCTTTCCTTATCGCAGCCGACCGAATTACGCCGCTTTGACGGCTACGAACGCGACGAACCGCCCTTTTTGCTATTCAACGACGACGACGACGACGGGGAAGGGCGGAAGGGCGATCCGGCGGTGGGGGCGAATTGTTTAGCGAATCCCCCATTCCCGACGTCGTCGTCGGTTTCGGTTTATCACCCCTTGGCGTCCGACGCCGCCGGGGCGGTTCGGACGCGGACGACGTTTCGCTTCTCGCCGTCCTGCAGCCATAGCCGCTCCGCCCCGCCCGGGGAGGACCCCACGGACGACGCCCAGGAAAGGGCCTGGGGGGGGGATTTCGCGGAGGAGGCCCCCAACGGCGCCGAAAAAGCCGAAACGCCCTCCCAAGCGGGGAATGAAGCGCCCCCGCACGACAAGGCGAGGGCACCAGCGGAGGAGGACCCGGAGAGAGCGGAGGGCTGGTATGGCCTTCCCTGGGAGCTGCGGGCCCTTTTGCTGACCCGGCGCGGGATTGCCGGGCTGTATCCCTGGCAGACGGCCCTCCTCGCCCGCGCGGACCTTCGCGCGGGCCGCAGCCTCGTTTTGAGCCTCCCGACGAGCGGCGGGAAGACCTTTTTGGCCGAGATGAGTCTTTTTCGTTGTTTGCACCGCCGCCGGCGGTCCGGGATGTTCGTCCTGCCCTACGTCGCCCTCGCGGAGGAGAAGTGCGGGGGGCTGCGGGCCGTCGGGGAGGCCCTAGGGGTCCCGGTGGAGGGGCATTTCGGCTCGGTCGGGCGCTTTCCCCTCGCCAGGGCCCCCGCGTTGTGGGTCTGCACGATCGAAAAGGCCAATTCGTTGTTGAACGCGCTGCTGGAGGAGGGGCGAGAGGAGGAGCTCGGGTGTGTGGTGGTGGATGAGCTCCACCTCCTCGGCGAGGCCCGCCGCGGCGCGACGTTGGAGCTTTTTTTGACCAAACTGCTCCTGCTCTCTGAGCGCCGACGGCGGGAATGCGGGACGGCAGGGGCATTCAAGGCGAACGGGGTTGAAAACCCCCTGCAGATCCTCGGCATGAGCGCGACGATTCCTAATTTGCCCGACGTGGCGCGTTGGCTGCGGGCGGCCTGCTATGAGGGGGACTTCCGGCCGATCCCACTGATCCAGTACACCGTGGTGGAGGGGTCGGTCTTGCGCGATGGCGTGGACTGCGTGCGGCGTTTATCCACCGCGCCGGACATCCCAACGACCAAAGGGAATTCCTACAAGGAAGGGGGGGAGGACCTCTACGAGCTCGCGACGGAGCTGCTGGAGGAGGGGTCGGTATTAATTTTCTGCGCGAGCCGCCAGCAGTGCGTCGAGGCCGCCCGCGGTGTGGTGCGCTACCTATCGCGCACCCCCCCCCTTCCTTTTCCTCCGCACAAACAGGTGTAAATGGGCCGGAAAGCGACCCCTCCGGCGCCACGCCGGACCTCGCCGCGATGGCGGGGCTGCGGAAGGATCTTGAGGCCCTCTCCCACGCCGATGTCTCCTCGGTTTCGTCTCTTTTGCTGGAAGTTTTGCCGTTTAGGGTGTCCTTTCACCACGGCGGGCTTTTGATGGAGGAGCGCGAGCTGATTGAGCAGGCCTATCGCCAGCGCCTCGTGCGTGTTTTGTGCTGTACGTCGACGCTCGCCGCGGGGGTCAACCTGCCCGCCCGGCGGGTCATTTTCAAGACCCCTTTTATCGGCAAGGAGCCCCTGACGAAGGCGCGTTATGTCCAGATGTGCGGCCGCGCCGGGCGGGCGGGGATGGATAAGGCGGGGGAGTCGTTTTTGCTGCTCCGGCGCCAGGACCGCGAGCTCGGGCGGCGGCTTATCGCGCAGGATCTGGAGCCCTGCCATAGCCAGGCCCTGGAGGAGATCAGCCAGCTGCCGCGAATGCTTTTGGAGTGCATTGGGGCGGGGTTCTTGGGGGCGAGTCCGACGACGGAGGGCGGGGATGGGGAGGGGG